GGGGGCTGGATTTAACTAAACTTTAACTACGAGTTAACCATGGTTAGTTTAACCAAAAAACTGGCCTTCAACGACTTAACTGGAATATGTTCATACTACTTTAAACGAACCGCCATGTATCAATTGTACGCCATTTTGAGACTAGCTCTTTCATTTGAGCCCAAAAAAACATTCACATGTAATCTGATGTAATAAAAAAACATTCACATGTTGTCTGATGCGTAAATAAGTCATTGAGTACATGATGTTTCAGTATAATTTTTATGCTTATCTTATTCTAGTACTCTGTTACTTGGCTTTGCGGTAAAACTTGAGTGTATAGGCCTTGCAGTATAAGTTTATCCTACGGTGGGTAGGGTAGTGAACAGGTCAATTGCTAGACGATTAAGGGAAATTCGAGTTTCATGGTTTTAATCGTCCGAAAAAAATTATTTCAAGTCAAAATAACAAAACAAAGAATAATTAAATTAAGAAATAGTTGAATGCAGCCGAAACTCCTAATTTCTGGATGACCCAGCTATATTTTTGTTATTTATTAAACGTCGATCAGTAGAAAAAATAATTTATCACATCATTACACACGAGAAATATTATTGAAAAATGAAATAATCAGTACAATTTTCATTTTATTATTTATGAAATATTCACTGGAAGTGGAATATTTGCATATTTAAATCGTCGAAAAACTAGCCCCCGTCCAGAAATTGACCTGTTTAGCCTGCCATCACGCCACGTGATACCCGAATTAATATTGTGCAAAACATGTTTGTGGTAAAAATTGTTGGAAGCCAATAAGAAGTATCCGAAATTTTTTACAACGATTATTATAAGGTAATGAAGGTTCTTGCTTCTTGATACAATTATTGTATGTGGAAAATCGTCGGTACATCACTACCAAAAAATAAATCACAACTTACTGAATCCTCTTGTAGATGTCCCACCAATGTTCGTCACAGTTACATTACCATCAATTTAAAAATATTTTTCCATGCCTTGAAAGTTGTTTCAAGCGACATATAATAACAATTGATAGGTTATCGCATTCAAATCGTAATATTAATGAAACATCTTTTGTATAACCTCATGAACTCCAAGAATTTTTTTTCCTCTAACTTTAAAGCAGCGTCTGATTAAAAGGCAATGATAACACTATAAGTGGTACATAGGAATTCACGTCATAAGAACTGATATCAGAGTATAAAATATGTTAGTGATACTGTGAGTTATTATTACGTTGAGATATTGTTCACATTCTTCCATATGGGGTCAGCGATATGACGTCTCGATAAGGGATCACGTGCCATGGGGGTAAGGCACCACGACTGCCTGCGATTGGTTCCTCCGAAGATCGTACTATTGCTCCAAATGTTTATGCTTTTCTATGGATTATTGAATCTATTTATGTTATCATTATTCACGATTGTCTGCAACGTGTGATGTTCCACCTTTTTTTTCCTTCACGCTTAACCCTCCGAAGATATTAAGAACAATGGCAGATGGAATTTTACATTATTTTATCAGCGCTGTATAAAAACGAAAATATTTTAAATCACGTCGTAAATCCAAGTCGTGACTTTTCTTCATCTTTTTCACCCTCAAGTTTTAATAAAGTATGGAAATTCAAGATAGGGATATATCACATGAAAGTTTATTATCACTTCATTTTGCATGTAAAGGGTTAGCGAATAGAGCACAATCTAGTAAATAAAATGTAATTCCAGAATTACGAGGTTATTTTGCATGGGTAGCAAAATAGTCCCTGCCCAAACTTTTTCATCCTGGTATTTTTCATCTTTCCTTTTCATCCTTGTTCCATTTTCTTCATGAGCATGATAAAATATTATTAAAAATCATGTTTATTGAGGTATTTCGTTTTACTGTGAAATAACTGATTGAATAGAAAAATACAACAAGTTGAAAAAAAGTGAAAGAAAATGAATTCGTAAAGAACTGCTCCTAAACAGTAACTTGAATACAAAGCGATACCGTTGAATATCTTCTAATAATATTTCCGCTACTATTTACTCTCACCTACACTTCGAGCACAAGAAAGAAACCAAAAGCAAAACTCGCTTGTATTTTTTCTTATCATTCACTCAATAATAAAGCAAAACAATCTATTTGATGTGTATTCAATGGAGCTCTCAAAATTTTAAAGGATACTGTAGTCATAATACACGAAAGACATGATGCATCCAAATATGAGTAAATAAAGAAAAATGGATGAAAGAAACGATAGAAATGTTTAAGATAGTACACAGAGAAACAAAACTAGTTGTGCCAAATATTCATTTGCTTGAAAGAAGTATTTATTTTTTCAATACCGTATATCTCTATTCGAGTCATTCTCAGGCAGTCCTCATTAAGTTTCAATTATATTAATTATCTTGCTCTAGAAAATGATCATGTTAGTTATGACCTCGAGTGATCTCCATCAATAATTATCAACTTGAAAAAATTGATCGAAATTCACATGAATTTTCAAGTAAAAATGAATATTCACTGCCAAATTCCCGTGAATTTTTAGAAAATTCCTTTACAATGCTTGGGATTCCAGGAATTTTCAAGTAATTTCATAAAAATTGAGAGAAATCTGGAACTCAAGGAGAGATTTTTTTGAATGTTCCTGATTTTTCATTAATTTTTCCGGATTAATTAAACTAAAATTTACAGTCTCCACGCATTTTCCGTGAAATAATTAATTTTCAAAGAACAAGATTCTTTAAAATTTTAGGAGGAATGTTGCTTGTTAGAAATTGCCAAGATTCTTAGCGAAAGTTTCAGCGGAAAATTTTTAAAAGTGTAAATGCCATTACGATGAAGGTAGAATATAAAAAAAATAATTTTTTCATCACGCTGTGACGAAAAGTGAACTTTTCGGCATGCTCCGCAACATTGTGATGAAAAATATTGTTCGTAACTCGTGAAAAAAACACTTTTTTGCACTCGTTACGAAATATACTATTCTCTATTGCCTCGCACAATTTCTCGTCTGAGAATTGGTATTGCATACTTCTCAAAGTCGGAAACTTGCAAATCACTACAAAACATCTTGTGCCGGGCTTTTCTGATGGGGTTTTTTTACTTGTGTGGTTGGCCGGTCCTGACTTTCGACTCGGGCGCCAACACAACAGAACTAAAAAAACCCCATCACAATACCCGGAAAAATACTATTTCCACCCCACTATCTACAGAAAACACGCACACGAATTAATGTCCTCCATAACAAAATAGTAATAATTAATTGAGTTTCGAAAGCGATGTGACCAAGCGCCAGCGCCATATAATTGTTGTGAGTAACATCGGGGAATACCTGAGCTCGGCACATACGTCTCAGGATGTCGAAACTTATTATGCTGACTCGTCCCAGCTGGTTCGGTCTTCTCAAAACAAACAAAAAAATAAAAATTAAATGATGAGTATGCATCACACATGCGCAAACCTCTCGTTACGATAATGTCTATAAGAAAAGGAACGATTTATAACCCACTTTGAGGAAGAAGCACATGCCGATTATGAATGAAACGATTCTTCAGAAACATTGATATGTTTGATACTATTTTACTTTTACATGTGTGATAGGAAAGAAAATAAATACGAAAGTCATTATTAGATTAGTAAAGTGAAATGATTGCACTTGTTTTCATCGTTGATATCTCAAATGCTGATGAGGGAAATGCGATGCATTTGCAGTCGCCAAGAAGATTGAAAAAGCTAGGCGTGTCTACAACT